TACCTGAACGGCTCTTTGTTCTTATTTTCTTTGTCCCCTGAAACGAAGGGAGGTGCGAATTAAATATAATTGCACTGTTTTAATTAATTTATGAAAGTAGATGTTTGCTTTTTTTTTTTTTGTCAAAAAAGAAAAAGCCATCTGCTGTTTTTATTTTTTTTCCAGTTTCGCTTAACAGAAAAGGCAAAGAAGACTATCAAACCACTTACACCGCACTCCGGCAGAAACAGGCCCCTGAAACATCGCACGCCACCCAACGCTTGCTAAAACTGGCCAGCGAACGTGAAAAAAAGTCTGTGTGAAAAAGAAAACCCACTACGCGCATTTCCAACATCTTTTTTCCTGAGGCGAGTCCATTCACCAGCTTTTGTTTCTCTGAGTTGGAAGCCCAACTGATAATTATAGAAAAACGTTTTCTGCTTGTTTTTAACACTGAAAACTAATGTAAAAGTTTGTTCCTGCAAAGATAATGTGGTGGGTGTTGGGTGTGTGGTGTGTTTGTGTGGTGTGTGTGATGGGAGTAAGAAAAAAAAAGAGAAAGTTCAAAACATCCTACACAAAGAACGAGTATCATCTTCTTTCTTCAAATTTTTCAAGATGCCCCAGCATGTTGTTTTGATCCACTTTTGTTTTGTTTTTGTTCATTTCTTCAAATGAATTTGGTTGAAGAAGATTGGCCCTAACATATGTTTTTTGTACAGTGTGTTTGATTTGGTGGTGTTTGTTAACATTACATGATCGTTTTGAATTCCTGCAAGGTGCCCCATATAACGGACAAACAACGCAAGCTTTCATCTTTACAGTGAACGGCGTTGGGTTTTTGGCCAGAAAAAAAAAACCCGACATTCCCAGACACGCAAAGATTGTATTTCATTTTTTCAAAACTTTGGCCCAGCCGGTAACAACACCAACAACACAAAACACCAAAACAACAACAAAAGCTGTTTATTTCCTTACCGAACATAGACAATTGGGGCAAGATTGAAATAGAGAAAGCAATCTATCCGTACAGAAAAGAACTCATATATTTACCTTTTTATTGTCTTCTTTCTTCCCTAGCCAGGTTTGAAAGTTATAAGGAGAAGTTTTTTCGAACGGCAACTTTAAAAAGGGCCAAGAGGCCCGATTACAACACCCGCTGGAACTAGTGTTCATCCTTCAAACACAACACCAAAGCATATGCACGCTGCATTCTGGCCAGATCAAAGAATGGGTCAAATCTCATACGAGGCATCACATGATTCTCTGCAACAATTAATAAGTCATGAAAAATCAGTGGTAAATTCAAGTCATATTTAATCCAATATTTTGACTCTAATTGCTACAATTTCGCCGTATTTAAAACCCAAATTACCCCTTAACTTAAATCAGCCAACACTACGAGCCAACCAGCTTTGGCAAGTAATGTTTTTTGACTTTGTTATGGTTTGGAAACCTTGGACTTGTGTTGTCAGGTGTCAACTTGATATTTATTTGTTCCGAACCGGGTCGGAAGAAGACTACCATTTAATAACTAAAATATAGCAATATCGTGTTTTTCCGCACAG